AGATGCTTACAGACTGTTGTTAAGAGAAGAGATTTTCACAGTTTTCTGTCTTCTTTTGGGAATTAAATATGGATTTATGAGATTTGTAAATCATTGCATCCTGTTTTTATTTACATCCTATACAGCATCCCAACTTCTGTGGAATTAGAGGGTTGTAGGTCTGAAGACAAACACACCCCATCCTTCACATCTCGCCCCTCCAATTCTTTTGTAGTCTGTACTCCACAACACAAACACAAATAGATGCAGACACACATGTGAAAGAATGAGACACACACACACTGCTGCATGCTCAAGCACAACCATGTGATCTCCCTAGCTCTATTATTAAAAGCCATGCTCGGTTGAAATTAAAAGAGTTTTCAGCTCATAACATTATTAAAAATCAATTCATCCTCTTTCATCTCCTCTGTCTATTCCTTTATCCTTTTCCCACCCTCCCTCTTGTCACTCTTCATCCATCCATCATTCTCTCAACCTTTGTCACCTGACTCCATTACATCAATTAATGCTTTCCTTTGATTACTTTGTCTATGCCCTGTTGACAACCTTTCAGTGGGTATCTTCTTTGTGCACCCTGCTCTCTGTCTGTCTCAGTCTGCCCGCTGTGTGTGCTCACTTTCGTCCTTTTTCTCTTTTCCCCTGCTGTGTGTATTATATCTGTTCACATCTATTACAAAACTTTCTGTCATTTCTAAGTGTGTGTGTGTGTGTGTTTCCAGGTTTGTGTGAAAGAGAAAAAAAAAGAATGAAATGACCTCTTCACAAGTGGCCTTATTTTCAGTGTCCACTCTGTGCATAGAGACTTAGCCAGCGTGGCAGTTTATCGACTCAGTGTGTGTATGTGTTCTTATATATTTAGCCTGTACTCCAGGGTCTTGCTAAAGGACCCATCAACACTAACTGCTCACTGATCATTTAACACAAGATGACCTCCTGTGCCACCTCAATACAACACACACTCACGCAAACACGTTAAACAATGTCAAATATGTGAGAGTGGGAAGCTATTAATAGCAGCACGGTTACCACTCTCTGCACGACTTCTCTGGATGGAAAGTGCACAACGGCAAAAGACCTGAGACACTAGGGTTTGATTTTTACATCCACCATCAGTATTTGACTACCAAAAAATACAATCGTGTAAAAAAGAAAATACGTCTTCTTTCACTTTCACAGAACATATTAAATCGTATCCTTACCTGATCTTAAAATGTAGGAAAATTACAGCCTCAGTTGAACAACACATGACATATTGCACCCTGTTATTATTTAATAAACAAATAAATAAATAATAACCCAAAATGCAGAAGCAGTATGAGAAAAACCAAGTATGGCCTTACTGCTTCAAACTGAATTTATAAGTAAGTAGCACTCAGGTGTTTCTAATCAAATGGACTTGAATGATAAAAGCACACGTTTTGGCTGGTTGCTGGAGCATTCAGGTGTGTGCTAACAGAATACCAAGAAAGAAAGACACTAGCAAGGATCTTAGAGAAGCAATTGTTGGTGCCCATCAATCTGGGAAAGGCTATAAGGCTGTTTCCAAACAATTTAAAGTCCATCATTCTACAGTGAGGAAAATTATTCACAAGTGGAAACCACTGAGTTTTTCCTGGAGTGGACTTCTCAGCAAATTCACCCCAAGGTCAAACAATGCAATAGTCAGAGAAATTGCAAAAAACCCAAGAGGTACATCTTAGAGTCTACAGGCTGCAGTGTGCATATTAAATCTTAAAGTTCATGACAGAACAATTCGACAAAAACCGAACAAGTTGTTTGGAAATTTGCCAGAAGAAAGCTTCTTCGCTCTGAAAAGTACACGGCAGCATAGGATAAGTTTGCATTGTTGCATTTGAACAAATTACAACACTTCTGGGGCAGACAATACCAAAATGAAGATCCATGTCAATAATGCACAGTACCACGTATGATGAAAACCAAACACATTTGGTTTTTATATCAGCACAATCACCTCATACCAACTATGAAGCACGGTGGTGGAGGGGTGATGATTTGGACTTGATTTGTAATCACAGGACTGACCACCTTGCAGCCATGAACATGAACTGCTCTGTTTACCAAAATATGATATGCTCAAATGTGACACCAATGTGTATAACAGCTTGTGTTAAATTGCACTGTGCAGCAGGAAAATGATTATACTGAATGAGCATACCAGCAAACTTCCAACATTAAAATGTGATCCAGGCTAGCAAGTCTTCCAGCCAGCCTTTCTGCTGATATGACTGATAGTTTTTGGTTTGTTTTTTAACTAGAAATACATTATTAAATTCAACCTATGTCCTCAGGCTTCCTGTGAGCACTTTTCAGGACCAATCTATCCAATTTTTCTCCTTTGTCTTAACTTCAATGCCCACTAGAGGGCTTTTTAACACTGTAATGTTAACAACATATGTTGTTTGGGGTCATTCGGTGAAATAACAGATGCTGTCTCAGACTAACATGTGATCAGTGATTACCTAATAATACTGATGGATTATAATAAGCTGCTTGCACAAAAAAAAAACTTTGTGTTTTGAATAGGAGGCAACCTTCATTATCTTGTTTTTTTATGTTTATTGTGTGTTTATATGCATCAAATTTAGAAAGATCAATCATTTATCTGCATTGCAGTAAAATGAGTCACATTAGGCAAATAAAAACGTAATTCTAGTACTTTATAAATGTTTCAGAGATAAAATAGATGCTTGTAAATTCAGGCCTTTTTTCTGGCCTGTTTTCCTTCTTGCTCAGTCTTTTTACCAGTCATTCACAGTTCACCTCCCTCCATCTCTCATGACTCTGTCTCGCCAGTATAATAACCAATTAACTCCAGCTCTTGGTTGCTTAAATTTTTTATTTATTTCTTCATTAATTAATTTCCTGTTTGAAGTGTACTGCGCAGTGATTGGCAGCTTGCGCTAATTGCACCTCACACTTTGTGAGTGTGCAGGATATGCTTCCACACACTCAATCACGTGCGCACACACATTTTCTCTTCCATCCATGCAGGGTCATGCATATCCTTGTGTACACAATTGTATGCAAATCAAACACACATCAAGTGTTGAATACTTGCAAGTG